AATATGTACGTCACAGGCACTTTAAAACTAGAACTAATAGAAACTAAACTAAACTAAAACTAAGCATTAAAAAACAATAACTAATAAAAACCAGCAAATCTACTTAAAAAATTTAAACTAACTGAATTAAAAGAAAAATAGTCACAACAAAAAAAAAACAACTAGAATATAATGAAAAATGTCAAACCATTACACCTTGGTTGTTCACCATTAATAAATCTTCATATTGTGTGTCTGTGTGTGAGTGTGCAGCAGCTCCTTTCTGTGGGACTGCTCTGGGTAAATTGTTACTGGACTCCCAGCCTGTCAGGCCGGGGAGGACGCAGCATTCTGCAACGGACCACTGTCAGACAGACGAAGACACCTTCCAGTTAGAAATAGTCCTGATGTCAGGGAGGAAATGCCTGCTGGACACAGGTCTTTCCTGCTCGCGCAGCCATCAACAAGTAGTACTTGAACTTCACAGGAACTTGGGGTGGAGTTTACTTCAACATGTGTGTGTATTTGCATGTATGAGGTTCAGTAAATACACACATAATAAGATTTTCCATGTGGCCAGTCAAACCTGAAATGAACACAAACTGGTTTGTTGGCTGAGTGACGAGGTGTGGTGTGCATTTAGGGTCAAAACAGGGTAAATACTATTTAATTAATGCAGATGTACTGTACAGATGTATTGTTTTGTTTTTCTGCTTACCCTCAGGACCGTAAGCTACTTGCAGCTGCCCAGCAGATGCTGCAGGACAGCAAGACAAAGATCGAGTTCATCAGGATGCAGATCCTCAAGGCCAGTCAGGCCAACGAGCTGAGCTTTGAGAGCAACGACGTGATGGGTGAGCTCCCACTTCCATCATCATCATGTCAGTCAACATGTGTAACACAGATGTTACAAACGACTGGCTCTCCTCTTATTTCCAGACAAGTCCATCATCAGCCCTCTAGACCTACGAGTGGAGGAGCTGTGTCACCACGCCAAGATCGAGTCTGCCGTGGCAGAGGGGGCAAAGAACGTCATGAAACTCCTGGGCTCTGGAAAAATCACAGAAAAGAGAGCACAGTCAGAGGTAGGGCTGCACAATGTATCATCATCGTGAAAACAGCCTGTGCGATATACTTAAAGCATAAACTGCAGTAAATGTTTGCAGTGAAGTGTTTTGTCAGCATCAGTCTGATAAACAGAATGGACCAGAGAAACAACTTCCAATCGTAATGACTCCTTTATGTTATAATGGAAATGATGTTGTTGTTCTTTGCTCTGAACCCAGAGCAGAAAGACCATTGATATATATTACTGGAATGGGCGTGCTTCACAAGGGAGATTTTTATGCATTGAGCTAATGCTAATGCTAACCATTGAAATCAATGAGCAGAACGTAGCACAGTGAAAACAAACGCTTTATAAACGTTTAAGTAGTTCAAATACTTTGCTATAAACTACATAGATTGTTACAACATGTGTACAAGAGCAAAAAGGGTTATATTTCACAGGTAAATATTACACATATTTAACCAAAATTAATTATTTTAATGGTAAAACCTGTGTGCTAAAATTAAACGGCTTCAATTTTCATGTTTAACCTTATTTAAAATTTATTTTATCTGTTGTCAAATATATTATTTACTGATATTAAACATGTAAATATTGGACTTTATTGGATTGTTGAGTAGTTAGTCTGCATATAAATTCAGAAATTATCATGTAGACTCACCAATGACAGACACTAATGTAATGATTGAGCATCATAAACAAAATAGTCACGTTGTCAGACAAGTCAGTTTATTCAGATATTTACTACACCCAGTATTTGTGTGGGGTTTTTTTCTTTTACTTTTCCAGAGAAAAAGGTGGAAAAAATGTGTGCCAGCTGTGAGTCAGCTTCAGATACAGCCTCCATCGTTGTGAAACTGAAGAATAATTGTTTGTGATAAAAATAAATTCGTTAAAAAATTCTTTGTGACCTGAAATATATATTTTTGTTTTTACTGATGTTAAAATAATTGTTTACAGCTAAAACCTTTGTAAATTTAAGCTGGCAGTATAAATACATATATTGTATTGTGTACATTTTGCAATTCTATAATTGTTTTATTGAAATAAATACATTAAATACATTAATATACGTTTTAAACATTTAAATTCATCTTTCAAGTACACACACTGGAAATATTAGTTTTATTATTTCAAATATCTAAGACTCAGTTCTGATTTAAATATATGTATGAATTTTCTGAAATTTCACAGAGTGATGTTTTGAATACACTCCAATCTCTAAATGGCTCACATACATTTGACAAATATAAGATAAATATGGATTTCTTGAAAATGCATGCCAACAGTTTTATTTTTTACCATTGTTTCATCATTTTCTTAATTTATGTATTGTGCAGTCTATTTTCCCTGATGCCTGGAAGTTTGCTCATATTACTCCCATTTTTAAATCTGGTGATCCAACAGAAGTTTCAAACTATCGGCCAATTTCTGTTCTTCCTATTTTTTCTAAGTTACTTGAAAAAACATTATTTAATCAACTACTTCAGCATCAAGAAACTAATAATAAGCTAAGCACTAGCCAACATGGTTTTCGCACGTCAAGGTCAACCATGTCTGCATTAATTTTATTCACTGAACAAATACGTGCTGCTTTGAACAAAGGTCAAGTAACTGGTGCTGTATATATTGATTTTCGTAAAGCGTTTGACACAGTTGATCATTATACTCTCTTACAAAAGTTGATTTCTTTTCAGCTTTCATCATCTGCAATACAAATGTTTTCCTCTTATTTGACTGATAGGTGTCAGGTTGTGAAACATGGAAGCTCTGTGTCCGGGTCTCTGCCCTGTTCCGTGGGAGTTCCACAGGGTAGCATACTGGGCCCATTGCTTTTCCTATTATACATAAATGACATTCCAAAAATATTGAAGTATTCAAATATTTTAATGTATGCTGAAGATATTGTTTTTTTTGTCTGATTTCAATATTGAATCTATTGATAGCAAGCAGATCTTCAGACATTTCATGGTTGGCTTCAGGATAATCTTTTGTCAATTAATGTTAAAAAAACTATGTGCATGTATTTTTCCTCACCCAGGAGACATTTCAATTTAACAAATCAACTCACCTTTTTAAACAAACCCCTTGATATTGTCAYTACCTACAAATATCTTGGAATTACTTTGGATTCTCATTTGACTTATCGTGATCATGTACAAGTCTTAACCACTAAGTTGAAACAGAAATTATACGTTTATTCAAAAATTAGATCCAATCTGACATCTTCTGTTTCAAATATCTATCTTCATGCCATTATACTCTCAACCATGTCGTACTGTTTACCTGTTTAGTCTCTTACAACAAATGAAATCTTAGAACTCGTAGTTAGGCTCTACAACAGGGCCTACAAAATTCATTAAAAACTTCCTAGTTGGACTCATCACTGTACAGTTCTTTCATTGTCTGATGCCTTGACTTTTCAGAATTATGTTTTGTATAGTGGTATTAATTTATATTTTCAGATCTTCCAAGGTGCCAATTATGGAACTCTCTGTGCATTGTTGCCCAAATCAAATTCTGGAAGTGGTCATTCAACTAGATCTGTTACAAAAGGACAACTGATATTACCAACTTTTAAAAACTGTTACGGTCAGAGGTCTTTCTTCTATGTTTATACTAAAGCATGGAATGACATTCCTCAAAACATAAAGTCCATTTCAAAACTACAGCCCTTTAAGAAGAATCTTGTCTGCCACCTGCTGGACACTGTTTGTTGTGCTCATATTTCGACGTCCTATTTTGCAAATGCTGCCTTCCTGAAATTTGGTATGCTTGTTTGTCTTTGTGTCTATGGTGTATAATGATGTGATTGTGATGCTGTATTTCTGAGTGTTTATGTGCTGCAGAACAGGAACCTGCTGTAAAACAGCATTTATGCTGAGTCAGGCTTGATTTATAGTAGTCTTTTCCTTTAAATCAAATCAAATCAAATCAATGAATATCCAGCTGGTCAGAACTCATTGATTTGTATGAGAAAACACGTGAAACGCAAAATACTTAGTTTAAGCCACTGTTTTAGACATTTAAATTAGTTATTTAAAATTTCCATAACTATAAAATTCACCATTTCCTCAGCTTTATTTTGAACCATTGTTTCTAAAAATGGAGCAAGAAATAAGGAAGTTATAAGAGTTTTTCATCAGGATGACACCTCACAGTCATTTTTGTTGAGGCTCCTCAATGCATAACAGAGCTCCACTGTGTGCACATCAATGTAGCTAGCAACACGCTAGCCACGCCCAATCCAGTAATATATATCATTGAGAAAGACATTAACGCTACAAACTTATGTATTTTTCATTTTTCATGAGTCAAAGTGTGAGGATTAGGAGACAACTTTATGGATGGATGGGGACTCATTGGAGACTTAATTAATATTAAGTATAAGTGTATTTTTGAATAGAATTGAATAAAATTTGCAGGGATGTTCCTATTTTCTTTCCTGTGCACTAATTCAGTCTGATTTCAAGGTAAAATTCATGATTTTTGTCATAATTTTGTGTCTTCAGCTCATCCCAGCCCAGTGGAACCAGTGTATTAGTTTCAAACAGATGTTCAAAGATGGCGGATGCCTTATGGTGCCTCTTTGTTTTCCTCTTCAGGCCCAGGCTCGCTTCACTGAGTCCAGTCAGAAGCTGGACCTCCTCCGGTATTCTTTGGAGCAGCGCCTCAGCGAGCTGCCCAAACACCATCCTCGCAGCAACGCCATCATCGAAGAGTTGTCTCTGCTGTCCTCGCCGGCCCTTAGTCCCAGATCCAGTATCATCTCTACACAGAACCAGTACACCACCGTGACCAAGCCTGCAGCACTCACAGGTAACCTAACCTGACATCCCACATGCCTGTTCACAGAGAAACAAACTACAGCTGTTTAAAGAGGTTAAACATTAACTTCTGTAATGAGACACTGTTGTTGATATCCATACCATAAAGCTGCACACACACACCTTCAGGATCACAACAAGCTGCAGTTTTACCTCCAGGTGGGATAATTGGGTCCTCTACATGCTGACAGTTTGAGTTTCTAAAACAGAGTGCCTGAGCTGAGAGATGATGGTGCGTTGTTCATGGTTAGAGCTGTGATAGGCTGAGCAGCGAGAGCACAAACTGCAGACAGAGGGCAGGAAGTTGAGTAGAGGAGAATCATGTTTTCTGTAGTTTACAGCTGCTTCAGCTGCAGTGATAGAGAAAATTCATGATTGAGTTCGATACGGTAGTGTCACGGTTTGATTTTTTTTTTTTTGATACAAAAGAGAGGAATGTCCATGCCCTTCTTAACTTGTAATTTATTGAAATGAATCACGAACATTTGTTTAACCTCAAAAGTCCAATTTTTAAATAAAATGTTGCTGAAACAGCAAGTTTCTCAGTGAATCTGTGCTCCACAGTGCAGCCTATGTGGAGTAGTCGAACACAGATCCACTGATCCTTCAACACAGAGCATCTTCAGAAGACAAGTTGATAAAATAAATGTTAAAAATCTGTATTGTTCTCAGGGTTCCAATGGGTCCTTGAAATCCTTGAAAGTTTGTGAATTTGAAAAAATGATTTCAAGGCCCTGGAAAGTTTGTGGAAACAGCTAAAAGTTACACTTGTCCTGGAAAGTCCTTGAATGTTTTTGGGGAATTGAAATTCTCTACTCACATAACTGATTTTCATCACCTTTTTAAAAAAATTTACTATAAAATTTAAAAAAAACATACATTTGTTGCTGTGGATAACTCAGGATTACGGTAAACTGACGTCATTGTTTCTGACTCAACAACTTTTATGTTGTTCAGTTTTTCATTGAATTTACATGGTATTAAACATGTTTGTTGGTGACATTCTGTGGTAGCAGTAGGTAATTATCGTTGCGCGTGGTTCTTTAATTTGAGGAAATTAGTACTGGAAAGTCCTTGAAAGGTCCTTGAATTTGATGTTGACCAAGGTGTGGGAACCCTGTGTTCTATACATCCCCTGTTTTAGCCTCACTGCACTGGCTGCCTGTTCATTTTATTTGTTTTTAAAGCATTAAATGGTCTTGCCCCACTCTACCTCACTGAGCTGCTGCACCCCTACACCCCCTCCCCCTCTCTCAGATCAGCAGACCAGCTGCTCCTGAGAATCCCAAAAACTAAATGTGAGCTCAGAGCGGATCGTGTTTTCTCCACTGCTGCTCCTGAACTGTGGAACAGCCTGCCTTTGGCCATCAGACCGACCACGTCCCTGTCTGCTTTTAAAATGTTACTCAAAACCATCTCGTCTTTGGCTTTTGGCTCCATCTGAGATGTTGACTTTTAGTTTGTTTTGAGATTATTTTAATTTGTTTTAATTGGTTTTATGTGTTTGATTTATTGTATAGTTTTAATTTTTGGATTTGGCTTTTATTATGTACTGTGAAGGTTGTGTTTTATTGATTGTGACTGTACAGCACTTTGGGTTTTACATTTTATAAAGGATCAAAGATTTTCAGACACAATAGTCAGAAATGTAGACAGCTCTAAAACGTGGAGCTGGAGAAGTTTGAAAATTTAACTTTAAAATGCTTGAAAAGTGCTTGAATTTTACTGAGGAAATAGGGCTGGGTGATAAATCGATTTAATCAATTAATTCGAATTTGACATTTATAAAGTTTTAATTTTGGGAAAATCAAGTTTTTTTTTCCCACCAGTGCACTTTTTGGAGCTTCTCTAGTTTAGAGGTCACCCCACCTGTCCCTCCAGATGCTTATATGACACAATATAACAGCTTGCAAAGAGGATCTACTTCTCAAAAAGGCACTGTTTCTTCAGTTTTCTGGAACTGGTCAGGTTTTGTAACCTCAGACTTGGAGCAACGAACACCTCACTGCAAAATCAGTTTGAAGGCTCTTGATACAAAAAGCAGGAGGACAACAAATTAGTTTCGACACCTGAAACAGAGACACTCCGTTAAGTGGGAAACAAATGGATTAAAATCAAATTTGGGGGGCCGTATCGCCCAGCATCACCATCAGGTAGAACTAATCCAGTTTCATGTTTCCTGGCTCTAGAAGATGGTTCCAATATTTATTTTGGAATTTGATTTTCCCATCTTTTGCTACTAAAACAGATTGATTAGTCATCCTGTTGTGCCTCAGGCTGTATAAATACTCCGTTATTTCTGCAGGTCTGCACTAAATCTGCTCGCTTCTCAGGTTTTAACTGTTTCAAACAAGATTTTGACCTCGTTCACCTCCTCTAAGGGAGTCAGATTTTTAGAATGAAACTTAGTCCCACTTCTTCCATCGGTTCAACCTGAACGAGACTCGATGAACAAGACTAGACAAGCCCGACTCATTAAAACCAGTCTTTGGAGTTGATTGACGTGCCCTGCAGTGTATTTGTAACTGTATGCATCTGATGACATGTGGAGAAAGGGCCTAACTGGTTCCAGATCAACTTGAGAGACGAGAGTTGTCTGATGTGTCCTCCTTGTCCTCAGGCACGTTAGACGTCAGGCTCATGGGCTGTCAGGACCTTTTGGAAAATGTTCCTGGTCGTTCCAAAGCCGCCCCCGTCCCACTTCCCGGCTGGAGTCCCAGCGAGAACCGCTCGTCCTTCATTAGCCGTGCGAACAGAAACCGAGGAGTGAGCTCAAGACACCAAACGAAGAGCGAGGAGCTGTGCAGTGAGTAGATCTGACCCCAAGAGCAATAAAGTGAAAACTAAAACCAAATTAAATCAGTTAGCCCTAAATAAAGCCCAGCTGCAGCAGAAGCTGGCTGTGTTATGGTCAAAGCTCAGTGTGTTGTCCTCAGATGAGATCAGTGCGGTGCTGAAGTTGGACAACACAGTCGTTGGACAGACGAGCTGGAGGCCGGTCAGCAACCAGGCCTGGGACCAGAAGTTTACACTGGAGCTGGACCGGGTAAAACACACAATCCTGCTTTTAAACTGAACTTGTGTTAACAACTCAGTGCCGTCTTGTGTTTGACGTGATGTGAGCTGCTGCTGCTGACGTGGTTCTGTTGGGTTCTGCTCTGTAGTCCCGGGAGCTGGAGATCTCTGTGTACTGGCGTGACTGGCGTTCACTCTGTGCTGTCAAGTTCCTGCGGCTGGAGGACTTCCTGGACAACCAGCGTCATGGAATGTGTCTGTACCTGGAGCCACAGGGGATGCTGTTTGCTGAGGTACACACACACACACACACACACACACACACACACACACACAACACACCAAGCTGTTTGACTCCAGAAAAAGATGTTGAATATTACAGTTTTCATTGTCGTGTTTGCAGGATAAAAGAGCATTAAAGTGCCTGTGAYGTCAGATTTTTGTAATACATATGAATGCATTTTGAAAAGATGTCATTAGCTACGTTTACATGGACAAAAGCAATCGGATTAAACAGCCGTTCGGAATAAAAATGCATCATGTAAACAGCCCGTTCGATTATTCTGATCCGATTGAGCTTGATTGAGCAATGAATTTTTAATCTGAATGAAAAGGGTGGGTTATGGTGATTGATAATCGGAATGAGGTTCATGTAAACACTTAATCTGATCATCTTATTCTGATTATAGAAAGCTGACCTGTGTGCATGTCTGCTGACTTTCATTCACCCGGTGGGACAGCAGCGCTCCAGCTGCGCTGCACCGTGCAGAACTTTTCCTCCTCGCTCTCTTAACAGATGAAAAAAGAGGCAAACAGCAGACGTTGCTTCACAAAAAATAAAAATAAAAGGCACGTATTGCTTCATCTGCAGCTCAACTGAGGAGTAACGGCGTCTCTACCGTTATTAAAAGCTGACACGGGTCCGTCCTGAGCGCACAGAGGAGCTTTGTTTACGTTTGTAACACGGAAGTAGAGCTGACGGTTTACAACACTGTGCACTTTTATTCTGAATAAAAGTCCAATGCATGTGAACACTTTTCATGATCGGATTGTGTCAATGTAAACAGTACATTCAGATTATTTAATCCGAATACATTTCAATCCGATCAAAAAATTTTGTGCATGTAGACATAGCTATTGACAAAATATGCAAAAGAAATTTCATGTCACTGAGATGAACAGTTGTTGAGATTTTTGCCTGTGAATTAACAGGAAGTGATGTCAAAGGGGAATGTCTGAATGTAAACAGAGCATTGCTACAATAACAGACTGTAGAGAAGAATCTGATGTTTCTTAAGATTATTTTTAAGTCTCTATCAGAAAGATGAAGAAGAGTCAGAGTTCAAATATTGTTTCAATAAACAAAGACCAGAGAGTTTTCTTCATTAAAGAGTTCCCCTTTGATGTCACTTCCTGTTTCACTTTGGCTGAGCCAAGTTCAAAAGAAAATCTGCCAGTTAAGAGACAAAATGGGTTAGATTGTGTGTATTATTCCAACTTTCTTAAATGTAAAGAGGTTTTCTTTGACATTTTGTATTCGAAGAATATGCATGTCACAGGCWCTTTAACAACAAAAATGACTGCACAGACCGCTCTGTCTTCCTTGTGTCACTCATTAAAGATGAGAGCTTCCAGAAAGAAGGCGACATGAAGTCTATAGTTCATGCATTGAATGCATCATAAGTGCACAAGTACCAACAATTACACAATCGGCTGATACCACCCCTGTGCTCTGTTTGGTGTTTTGGCAAGTGGTTGTGCGCCTCACTTTCTGCATCAYGCTCATTTTATAACAGAGACACTCTTGCAGTGCCGGACTGTACCAGCATTATGTATGACCCCTGAGAGGTCAGCGACGATCAGAACTCATGGAAGGAGAGTGTTGCTGCAGTGGATAGAGGAGTCTGTTTGTCGTAAGACAGCGGGAGTCAAACTAACACAAAGGACCAAAATTTGAAATTTGTTTTTGAGTCAACGGCCAATTTCTGTCGATATTTATTGAAAAAAATGTTAAATAACAAAGTATTCTTATAAAAATACAAATGACTTTTCAAATTATGGTATGTTTTATGTAGAATATAGAACATAATTTGGATAAAACTAGAATGTTTAAATTTAGAAAGACTCAACATTAGTATCTATTTCTGATGCCTCTACCAAAACCTTTTTCATTTATACCTTTGAAGTATATTTGATAGGGGTGTCCCGATCCGATATCAATATCGGATATCGGTCCGATATCAGCCAAAAAACGAGTATCGGATTTTATC